CAGCCGACAGAATCCGGTGATATCAAGCAAAATACGACTAACGCACAGAATACGACTTGACGATGCTCTGAGTAGAGTACGAGATACGAGGCACGAGATGGTAGTAGCCGTAGCATTGTATTACACCGTGGCTGGCCAGGCCTAATCTTGACACAAAAAGTGAAAGATTAAGTATTTTGAAATCTTGTTGTATGCCTTTTATCGCTTGACAATTGCAAAACTCAAATGCCATCACCGCCACAATTCACTGGAATAGAACTTCACCATCTCCACCACATTCCCACAAAATCACCACCACCACTCTTTTCCCCTGCCATCTTTTTCCCCAACCCATCTTTTTCCGAAATTTTTGAAAATCACTGCCTCCGTCCCACATCCCATTTTCCACTTTGCAGCCACTGCCTCAAAACCAGCCCACAAACTCCCTCGGATGACCTCGGGCTTGGCGGAGGTAAGCGGACAAAGAGCGATGGCAAAAACCCAATAAATCCAAACGCAGCAAGTGGAAATCCAAAATCAATTCCGATTATTTTCCTTCCCTTTTGAATCGCCGTACCGCTTTCCCCGTTGTCCCACTTATCTGCTTTATCTACTACTGAGGGCCTGCACTTGCTCAAAGCACACCTCAACCACTACCACCATGGGCATCAACAATCCAATTCCCCGGAGCTTGCGCAGCGAGTCCAAGTATGTAAAATCAAAACGATTCTAGAGTTCCCACTAACCCCAGGAAAGCGGCCAAGATCCTTGCCAGTTTCATCAAACCCAACCAGTTTGTCGGTGCTGACCAGGTGATTCCACCTCATGTGTTGAAGAACGCCAAAGGATTGGCGGTGATCACCGTTTTGAAAGCCGGCTTCTTGTTTTCAGGAAGAGCCGGTTCGGGTGTCATTGTGGCCCGTTTACCCGACGGCTCCTGGTCTCCTCCTTCAGCAATCGTCACTGCTGGTGCTGGTGTGGGAGGCCAGATTGGCGCTGAACTCACCGATTTCGTCTTTATCTTGAACACCAAGTCTGCTGTCGACACGTTTGCCCAGATGGGCTCGGTCACGTTGGGTACCAATGTTTCCATCGCCGCCGGTCCGTTGGGTAGAAATGCCGAGGCAGCTGGATCGGCCACCTTGGGCTCGGTTTCCGCCATTTTCGCCTATTCCAAGACCAAGGGTCTTTTCGCCGGTGTCTCTTTGGAAGGCTCGGCCATTGTGGAGAGAAGAGAGGCCAACAGAAAGTTCTACGGCAACAACTGCAAGGCCAGAAACATCTTGGCGGGCCAGGTGGACGTGCCACCAGCCTGTGAGCCTCTTATGCGTGTCTTGGAGAGCAGGGTGTTCAACTACAACCTTGAAGGCGAGGACTACTTTGACGACGACTACTACGACGACATCCCCGATGAGTTCTCGGACCTGGCCTCCGAGTACTCCAGAGGCGGCGCTGCTGCTGCCAGAAGCCGTAGAAACAGAAGATACTCCGAAGACTACTCGGACGACGACTACGACGATGAGCCCCGCCGCTACAACCGCACGGAGTCCTACAGCCGAGGCTCCAAGACCGGTCGACGCTCGGCCTGGGAAGACAACATCTACGACGGTGCAGGCCGTAGCCGTCGTGACAGTGACCTAGACAACCTTGGTTCAAGACTTGGCAAGACCCACTTGGGCGACAACAACAGCCCCTCGCGTCCCTCGGCGGCCTCCAAGCCCAACTTTGGTGGTGCCCAGAAGACCAACGCTACACAGGCGATTGCCCTTTTCACTTTCAAGGGCGAGCAGCTGGGCGACTTGCCGTTCAAGAAGGGAGATGTCATTGACATTTTGAAGAAGTCTGAAACTACCGACGACTGGTGGACAGGCCGCAACAATGGAGTCAGCGGCATTTTCCCTGCCAACTACGTCGAGTTGATCTGAGGTGTAGACGTTTGATCAGGGGCGCCAGCCCTGCCTGCTGTACAATATATACTTTATAAATGTCATCTGTCGGGGTGTTGTAGGTGTGGCTGATGCTGCTTCCATGATAACAAGCGCACTGGACGAAATAAATTAACATTTAATCTTTTGGATCTCAGATATATTCGTTTTCGACCAAAGTGAATCCTTATTCTTTCTCTTAGTCATCTCATCGCTCATTCGTCCTGATCGTGTCAGCCGCTTCATTGTCTCGGACTTCTAATGAAGTATTCCTTGCATCACCATCTACAACCACCAATCACAGAAACCTGCCTCTTTACATAATGTACTATCTATAACCTATACCTTGAAAACCTGCTCGATAAAGTGGCGCACGACGACCTTGCCTTCGCCGAAGGTAGGGTCATTATGACGATGGATCACAGCCGCATGCGTCGCCTTGGTGTTACGGATGATCACTGGGAACTTGTTCCACTGAAGCGTGTTCAATCCCTCCACAATCTTCTCCTGCCTCCAGTCGAACTTCAACTTGAAATCGTCCTTCACCGCCTTACCCTTGAGGTTCACCAACCCAGGCTTCGGAAGAAGCTTGCTTTCCTCGTTGGTCGAGTTATCGTCTGATGTGGGTTTTGAGGAGGCGGGTTTTGAAGAAGATGGCGATTTCTTGGAGACACTGTAGTGGTAGTCGTAGTAGCTGGCGCTGTTGACGGCCTTGAAGATCGAGTCGACGAAAAGCTCAGCTCTGTCGTGGATCCTCTCCTCAATGGCCTCGAAGTACGTCTCCTCGTGGTCCAGGTCGGGCTTCTGCATCTCCTGGAACTCGGATTTCGTCAACTTGGGGCCCTTCTCGAGGTCATCGTCATTGTCCACCAAATCGTACAACACAGAGAGGCTGTTGGGGCTCTCCTTGTAGAAGTTGCGGAGTCTTCTATTGAGCTGCACCCGCTGCCAGATGGCGTTGCCGAGGAGATAGATGGAGTAGATAGGCATGGTGACAATGAGAGACGCCACAATCTTGCCCCAGACAAAGATCTTGTAGAGCCAGCGCAATGGGTTGAGAGTCCGTTTCTTGATAGGCCTCTCGATCTTGCTGAACGAGATGGACCGCGTAAAGTCAATGACATTGGGCTCGTAGCCCTTGATGTACTCCAAATTGTAGGCGCTGAGCGACTCGTTGACCATGGCGTTGAAAGGGTCAACGTTGGAGATGAAGGTGGTGTACCAGCTGGTTCTGCGGTCGTTGATGGCATTGCCGTAGAGCGAACGGTGCTGGAACGAAGCCAACGCCTTGTAGAACGGCAGCTTCGAGTCGGCCATCCACACGAGTAAGGGCAACTTATCGTCGTTCCCCACAGTAGCGGTCTTATCGTTCAAGAACATCTGGTGGCCCGTGTACACCAACACGTACGGCGCTATAAGATTGAAGATCTTGGAGGAGAGCGTCAGGCTGATGTTGTTGATGCCAACGTGGGGCGTACAGAAGGTGACAAAGTGCACTGGTTGCACCTGGTCAAAGTACTTGTGGTGGTAGAGAATGCCCAAAGCGTAGCGGGACATCAAGCCACCCAAGGAATAGCCAATGACCGAGATTTTCGTAACTTTGCCACCTTGGTCATTGAGACGCGACGTTTCGGCAAAGATCTCGTCGGCAACCCTCTTGCCATTCACGTCTATACCATCATAAGTCTTGTACCCCAGATGCGAGCCCGTCTTGTAAACCACAATGGACTCTTGGGCTTTTGCGTGTCGCTGGATCTGATCAGCAAGATACAGCATGTGGGACGAGTTGCCCCATACTCCGTGCACTAGCACAACAAGGTGGTAATCCATGGTGGTGGAGTATGAAAGAGGACATGATGATGCTTATATAGCTGCTGCATGCGAGTGGTGAATGTGATTCTGGCTGCGAAAAAGTTGGCCTGCAAGAAAACCACCATAACCAGTACCTGAGCCTCGGGAACAAAAGCACGAAAAGTAAACAATGGGAACGAATTCTGCACAAGCCGGCCGCTGGCACCTTATCAATTTTTTTCCTTAATTAGCAGTTCCCCGTCTAGGGGCTCAAGCCTAAGTCTTAATTTGATAGACGCACAATGGAGCTGCTCCGAGGGGTCCGTGGACGTTGGGGGGGCACCTACCACGTGATCGGAAACCTCCTATTACGGGAAATCTCCACCAACCAGAAAACCAGAAAAAGCGTAATTTTTCCCTTTTTTTCCATCCAACATGCTTTTTTTTCCTTTTGTACGTCCAGGGGGCCACTTTGCGCTTGACATGTGCGGGCGAAAATCCACACCTGGAAGTGTCTCGAAACGATCGGCGAGCATAACGGCGCACATTTCTTTGCTGCCCCTAGCCGTCTAGAATGGGAGTTAACGGACTGCACATAAGGCAGGGTTGTCTCGCGATAGCCATGTCTGGGTTAGGAAAACACGGCCAACCCCTCAGTGGAGGGAGATAATGGCGGGGGGTTGGAAGCTTGCGGTTGAATGGAGGTGGGTGGTAGGGTCGTATGATGCCACGTGATGGCAGTCACGTGGACCTAAGTCGACCCCCATAGTTATAGACCTAAGTCGACACCGTAGTTAGGGCCCTAGTCGATCCCATAGTTATGGAGCTATTCGATCCTGTAGTTATAAAGCTTGAGCGGTGGACCTAATTTGACAGGTGGGCGCGGTTAATGCAACAACGTTGAATTAGGCTTTGAAATTCCGGTTGAGAAGGCCACCCTATAGTGGATATGCGCCACTTCAGATCGATAAACGTTGAAGCGCTACAATATGATGTCTTATGAGCTCGACGGCCAATTTACTACCTCACACTACCTATAATTGCCTCCGGGGAAGGGAATTGGCGGCCTTCCGTCAAAATGAAATTGTCACGTGATGTGTCACGTGCCTCCGCCAAATCCACCCCTACGCCAACTTTAACCCCCAAACCCTAGTCTCCAGTCCCTTTTCAACCCACCCACCGTCCGTTGATCGCCATACGACCCCCCTGGCACCGTCGGCTACGGTACCTGAAAATTTCCCACCTGCACACCCAGACGTGTCGTTCGCGAGTAAACACCAACAAACTCCTCCTCTTCAACCAACCATGTCGTACCAGGACTACAACACGTCGTCTTCGGCGTTGAGAAAAAGAAGGACCATCAAAAAGTCCATCAACTTCTCGGCCATGATTATTGGCGAGTCCGGTCTGGGCCGTTCCACCTTGATCAACTCCCTCTGTGGAGGAAATTCCATAGTTCCCACGTCTCTGACAGCCACCCAGGACTCTTTCCAGAAGAGGCTTACGTTGAGGCACGAAAACGTCGAGTTGGAGGACAACGACGGTCACAAGATCTCGTTGAACATCATCGATACCCCCAATTTCGCCAATGCCATTGACTGCGACGATGACTTCAAGATCATCGTGGACTTCATCAGACATCAATACGACGAGGTGCTTTTGGAAGAGAGCAGGGTCAAGCGTAACCCTCGTTTCAAGGACGGTCGTATCCACGTGTTGATCTACATGATCAATGCCACGGGCCATGGTCTCTCGGAGATTGACGTGAAATTCTTGCAACACGTCAGTGGGTTGGTCAATGTGATTCCTGTCATATCCAAGGCGGACTCCTTGACGCCTGCGGAATTGAAATTGAACAAGAAATTGATCTTGGAAGACCTCAACAACTACAAGATCCAGTACTACAGATTCAACGAGTATGAGTACGAGCAGGACTACATCGACGACGAGATCATCGAGTACAACAAGTACTTGAACTCCTTGATTCCATTCGCCGTCATCGGTGCCAACAAATTCCAGGAACTGGGCGACGAGGACGACCTCTTGAAGTTGCGCGTGTTGAACCCAGCATACGCCAAGCCCATCAACATCGAATTGCCTGAAATCAACGACTTCACGATATTGAAAAACATTCTTTTGATCACACATCTCAACGAGTTCAAGGAGCGCACGCACGAGGTCATCTACGAAAACTACAGAACCGAGGCCTTGTCCGGAAAGAAGTTCTCCTACAGCAATAACGAGGAAGAGGAAGACAATGGCGAAAAGAAGGAAGACGAGTCGAGCTACCTAATGAAGGAAGAGCAGATCAAGTTGGAAGAAGAGCGCTTGAAGAAGTTCGAGGAGCGTGTGCACCAGGACTTGGTGAACAAGAGAAGAGAGCTTTTGGAGAGGGAAAACGAGTTGAAGGAGATCGAGAAAAGATTACTCGCCGAGGGATTGAAGTTCAATGATGAGGGCGAGGTGGTCAAGATAGACGAGTAACTAGGGACATAACAATTCTACATGATTCAAATGCCCGTGCCAGTAATTTTATTCTAGTATACAAATCGTGTCTATGTAGCAGCCAGGTACTTGTTCACGATTTCGTCGAACTTGGCGTTCTTGTCGTCCAAGTCGGTGAGCAACTGGTGCTCGGCGTTGGCCTCTTTCAAACGCTGCAACAATGCAGAAACGTTGGCGCCACCGTTGGTGAGGTAGTCGAACGTCACCTGGTTGGCAATGAAGTCGTCATTCTCGTTACCCTTGTAGTTGAGAGCGATAATCTGGTTCAACAACTCCTTGGCTTCTGGGAAGTGCTTCAATTGCAATGTCATGACAAGCAAGACGTTCAAAATACGGAACTTGCCCTGAGGATCGTCGTCAAAGTCGGAGGACAACATTTCGTCGTAGAAGTAGTATGAGTTGGAGATGTTGTCGGACTCGCCCTTGATAGACAATATCCAGCTCTCCAACACCTGGTAGATGATGTTGTCTCTGGCCTGTGGTGGGAAGTTTTGGAAGCTCTTGTAGATCTTGTCAGCGTCAGAGAAGTTCTCCTTGATCAAGTACAACTGAACGAGGATCAAGTATGGCTCCAACTCCTTGACGTTGTTTGTGTTGTAGTTTGTGTATTTCACGAGAAGCTGGATGGCCAGGGGAATGTCCTTCTTGAATTTGACGTAGTAGAGAGCGGTTAGACTGGCCTGCAACTCAAACTCAGCATCCACAACATCGTCAAAGTAGGTGGATTCGTCAATGCCAAACGTCATCAAATCGTTCCAAGCTTGCAAAACATCGAAAACATGGGTCAGTTCGGGGAAAATCAGCTTTCCTTGGTCAATCAACTGAGAGGCATCTTGGGACAAGGCAACACTAGATCTCACTTGGAATTCCAAAACTCTGAGTTTGTTTTCATGAGCGAAGGAGTCCAATGAGTATGAAACAACCTTGTGATGTTGGCTGGTGAAAAACTGGTTTCTGATGGTGTACAACTCGCCGGAATCGCTAAATTCGTCCATGGTGGTTGTGGAGTGTTTCTGGTTTTCAGTCGACGTGTATAAGCCTGAGAAGTAGTCCTACGCAGTGTGCAGGCAAAATGGGTGCAAAATGCTTCTGGTACCTAATATCTATAAACGTTTCAGCGAGGGGGGATATCATGTCACTCCCGATGCTGCTTTGGTAAGATTGAAGCTGGGGTATTGGAGTTTGTAAGCTTTGGTGTAGTCGCCGTGGCGCTTGCTCTTGGGATCGTACCTGGATATCCGCAAGTAGAGTGCAATATCGGCAGGATCAGCTTGCTGAACCATCGACATTTTGACAAGCTTGTCGAGGTGTTTGTTGTTTTCGACGAGTTCGGTCAAGTTGAGCTTGCCTTCGTTCACGTCAATGTATCTCTCGACGTCGTTGACCAAGAGGGAGACATGGGTGTACTTTGTGAGCTCGTTGGTCAAGTATGTGCTGTTCTTGACCTCGGCAGTGTCGAAGCTGTCTTCCCAATAGATCATGCCATCGGCAGCATTCACATCGAAAATTGTCGGTGGGGTAATCTTGCCTGCTGGTTCACCACGCAAAAGTGACAAGTTGGTTTCGGCAATGGAAGCATAACCCCAACGAGCAACACCAGAAAGGAAAAGTCCGAGTAAAAGACCCTGGAATACGTATGCGGTACGGCCTCTAGTGGAGCATCCAGGGATAAACATCAACGCAAAAATGTAGTGATGGATACGGAGCGTCAAACCGGGAATCCATGCAATCGCAAACAACGCAGCAAACATCATGATGTATACTTTGATGAGCTTGTTGAATCTACCTGAAAGCCATACCAGGTATGCTTGAGTGACGACGCAAACGACGATAATTACTGCAAATACAGAAACTGTAAGAAGCGCACCCGGTTGGGCCTTGAGGTCTTTAAGCGTGAGTCTGTCAACGGGTAGTCTATCGAATGTAATATTGTTGAGCACGCCAAGCCAGAAGAAGGGATACCAAAAAATGAGTCTAGACATTGGTGATCCTGTAGGAGTTTGATCATCCGCCGGGTTGATGTTCTCCTCCTGTGGCTTGCTGAATGTTCGTTTGATGCTGACCTCCCACAAGAAATACATGACAAAGCACGTAGGCAAGAATCTGCCCAAACTGAGCGAGATCAATTCGTAAAAGGTTTCCAGGCTGGCTGGGTCAACGAGGGTTGGCGGGTCTGTAGCCAAAGTGATGGTCCAGAAACCCACCGACATGATGATCCAAATAAAGACTGTTGAAGAGCCCAAGATGACGATTGGCAAGCCGAGCAAGATGTTCAAGAAAAGCACCACAAGTCTAGGGTCTTTGCAATGCGAGACTTTCGACTCAAGCTCTGAGAACACATACGAAGTGGGGAAGAAGGAGTCGAACTCGATCGAGTCAGAAACGCCATAGTGGCCCTTTTGCGCTGCAAAAGACGACTGAGGACCGCTGCTGAAGGACGCTTTGGCACATCCACCGTAGAAAGGCGATACTATGCCAGCATGCACGGCAGCTCCACAAGGGAACGAATCGGCCCTATACGGATGAGTAATAATGCCATTTTCATCACGTTCCTTTTCACCGCCTCCAACAAACAACCCTCTATACTTGATCATCTGGTCACCCACAGCCCTCAGCGAGTAGAGCCAGCTACCACGGTCACACAAGGCGGGACACCGGATGATCACATCTTTGTCTTGATGGAGTTTTGGACACGCTTTTGCGTCTAGCCCGCACGCAGCGTTCTTTCCTTTCCAGAAGTCGTAAGCATCGGTACACGTTAACGAGATGACCGTAGCATCTGGATCTCCCTTGACCTCAGGAACTTCAGTGAAATAAGGAAGAAGCACCCTGGACCAGATGGCGATCCAAACAAGCATGTACACAAGCAAAACGATCACTCTGGATGTGGGCAGCACCTTTCTCCGGAACCGGTCCGGGAGTAGTTCTAACTGGCGAAGTTTCCATATCGGTTGTGGTGGATCGTCACGAGGATGAGCAGGGCCCCTTGCCCAGGCAACAAAAAAGCTCTTCACGGAATCTTTCCATGTTTTCGGATGAAGAGCTGCCCATCGGGTGTGGAATTCTGGTTCTGGCGTTTCTTCCGGTGAGCTCTGTGGTATTTCCTGAGAAGTCACATCTGGAGATTCCGAGCCGATCTGGCTCTCCGGATCAGGCCGTTTATGTGTTAACAAAGACAGCCGCTGTTCATCAGACATGCTTTTATTGAACTAGGGCTGGGATCTATGGTTCTAGGGTTTGAGGTCTTGGCTCTTTCTCGGTCTTGTGCTCCGGCTTCGTGTGCCGGACAGACCACAGATCAGGGTCACCGGATATGGGTTACATTGGTGGATTTTGAAAAGTGATTGTGATTTTGATGATGGCACTTGGATTGGGATGAAAACGCTGTGTTTTTGGAGATCGGCCCAGGGTCGGGGCTTATGCCTAGGGAATGCCGCAACATGATGGGATAGATAAGGATATGCCTAATGGGCGGGCAAGCTCAAAATTTGGGGAATTTGGAGAGCAGCTTTATTTTTGATTTTGACGTTTTTGGTATTTTGTACTTCATGGTTGAGATATTTAGGGAATGACGATTTGGTGATATCTTGAGATGTCAAGCCATCGTTCACAGTGCATGACAATGGAAACGAACGAAGTATAATAAGAAAGGCTTGGAAAATTTGACCTCTAAAAATCACTGGAATTTTCAGATGCTACAACTCCATAAATCTAGAAGGTATCCGTACGCTGAATACATGTGCTTGAGTGCTCTGCACTGTGCATATTCCGTATCAAGAAGACCCACTTGAAGAACCACTTTGTGTCTCCTAAACCACGCCACAAATATTTCGTTAATTTCGATACCCGGAGGTGCTTCTGGAAGATGCGGCAAAATACAAAAAGTTGACTTTGTGGTACCAAATCTGCAAGAACCTTAAATGTGTGGCGCTACGCAACATTAGTGCAACCGATCAGAGTCCAATGAAAAATTGGGCCCTCAATGTATTTCCACTTTTCATGAACTTTATTATTTTTTTTTTTTTTCTTTGACTGCATTCCCTTCATCAAACCACCACTACACCCCACATTCATATCGGATTATCGTAAAATTCCTATGTACCAAGAAGTAGATTATTACCATGAGTCTGGACCAAAGGCCTCGCCGGGCGCAAGGGTCTTAGAGCGGGCGGTGTTCGCCAAGTCAGAAGTTCTATCCAAGATGCTGTTGCCCCACCACGATGGGAAAGTGGCATTTGTCAAACTCAAACACAAAAAGATGATCAACGAGGACCATGCCAAACCGATATCCAAACCAGCGGAAAGCGAGTAGTTGTACTTGAAGTACCAGTGGGTGAATCTCTTCTTGATGAAGACACCAAAGAGGATACCCACGGCACAGTAGTTGACGTAGTTGTAAGGAGTGGCTGGAGGAATGTAACCGGTACCGGAGAAGAAGACAGGCCAGTTGAGCCATCTGACTGGGGAGTTGGGCCACTTCTTGACAATGAGCCAGTTGACAACGGGCAAAAGACCAAGCAAGAAGAAGAACAACAACTGGTAGTAGATCTGGCCTTGGGAGAACATTCTGCCTGGACCAATGGCACCCCAAATAATAGAGGCGTTGAAGAACACTCTACCGTTGGGACAGGAGTAACCGTTCTTCTGCTTGGAGTCACACAAGTTGTCAATGTTGCCGTAAGCCCATCTCAAAACACCAATCTGGACAAGAGAGCCCCAGATGGTAGCCCACAATTGGGCCCAGAAAAGAAGGATAGGCTTAATCTTCATGTAGTGACCGAGCTTCATGTCCTGAGCAAAAGTGACGGCCTGGTTATTGGTGATGTAACCGTAGGTCTTGAAGAACATCATGGCCAAAGGCTTACCTGGGACCATGTAACCGATAATGAACTCAGTGACGACGTTCAAACCAACAGCGATGTTGGTGATGGAGTAAATGATACCAACAGGCAACAAGAAGAACACGGCGATCAAAAGAG